CAAACGAGAAGCAAAAACCAACCGAAACCGGGTTGGGTTGAGTTCAACCAGGGTTAGTTTCAAGCCAGATCTTGGCCTCTCGTCCCACTGAGATGGTTCCGTAGACAGGTAGTCCTTGACTTACAACCAATTCCAGTCTCGCCCTGGGCACGAAAGCCAAGTGGGCGACTTGGGGCCAATCACCAGGTGATTGGGAATTCTAGTCCCTCTTTAAGCATGGAAGCTAGTTGGATGACTTTGCGCCGACCACCAGGAGACGGTGAGTTCTAGTCACTGCTAGGCAACCCGTCGTAAGTCAAGGACTATCTGTAAGAGCGTTGAGGCTGGTCTTTTTTGTGCCCCCCCCCCGATCCCCCTCCTCACCTTGTCCACTTCGTCCGTGCTGCCCTCCACCACCTCATAGGCGTCGATGCGGTTGACGGTGGTGGCCAGGCGCTGCTGCTCCTGGTGGTGACGCATCCGCGAGTTGACGTGGTTGATGAACTGCTCCACCGCGTTGATCTGGGGGAGAAAGAAGAGCTAAGGGTCCCCCGTTGTGTCCTCGGGAGTCTGAGCGGCAGGAAAACCGGCAGAGTTTCTCTAAGGTAGACTGCGGCAGAGCGTGGAAGCTCTACTAAGCCTTCGGGATTGATTGACTGGAAGGGGGAAATTTCACGCCTAAGGAGGGATTAGAACTCATCCCCTCCTGGTGATTGGCCCAGAGTCACCCAGCTTCCATGCCTAAAGAGGAACTATAACTCCCAGCCGCCTGGTGATTGTCCCAAAGTCGCCCAGTTTCAACTCCCTCTGAAATATTCATTTCCGTCGCTTAATTCCGTTTGGGCTCTTCAATTTTTCCTTGCTTGGTGTCCGGAGTGCAAAATTGCCCAAAAGAGGGGTGGTTTATTTTGCCCGTTGAAGGCAAAATGGATTGAGAGAGTTTAAAAATAAATAAATAAATAAAATCAACCCACTCTCAAAATTGGTGGCCAGTGGCAGGAGGTTCCCTAGGTTAATTGGGGACAGTGAGAACATCCAGTCCAGCCCCCTCCCCCGGTCCTTTCTTTAATTCCCACCGTCGGACCTTCCGTTTCGAACCGAGAAAAGTGCGAGAAAGTCGGCTTATCAAAAGGACATGAAGGCTTTTTCGCCTTTTCTTATCGGTCCCCCGAAGAAAGAGATTAAAAAAGGAGCTTTGAGCACAAATTATCTCCTCCCTTATCTTATTTATTTATCTTATTTCCGGGTAAGAGGAGAGATCAGCGCTGTAGCGGGTGGGCGGAAGGCAAACAATTCAGGCTTTTCCTCCTATTAAGCGGCCCAGCGCTTCTCGGCTGTGGAAAATGCAGATTTACAGAGTTGGAAGGGACCCGCGAGATCATCCAGCCCAACCCTCCCATCTCCACTCGAGCAGGGAGCCCCCTCTAGGGCATCTAGGGCAAGTGGCTGTCGGGTCTCTCCTTGAAAACCTCCAGGGACGGGAGCACCGTTCTGGAAGCAAGCCGTTTCCTCTGATTCATTGGTCTGGGATGACAGAACCAGAGTTGGAAGGGGGGACCCTGGAGGTCATCCAGCCCAACCCCCCCGCCCCTTGCTGGCGCAGGAGACCTCGACCTTGACCCATTCTGATCCTTTCCTTCCTTGGGCTCCCTCGCCTTGCCTCGCCAAGCGGGTGAATTTCGTCGAAACGAGGGTGTGTGTGTGTGTGTGTGCGCGCGTGAAAGGATCTGCCGACCCCCCCCCCCCCCCCCCCCTCACCACAACCTCTCTAACCAGCCTCCAGGAACCTGGTTTGTCTGCTTACCATGCCCACGATGGCCTCTCGCGCCTCGGGGTCCTCGGTCTTCTTCAAGACGGACTTCAGGAGAAGGGGGTACTTGGTCAGGCGCTGGTGCGGCTTCACCAACATGTCGCTCAGCTTCAGCCGGTTGCACTGCTTGTGTTTCTCAACCCACTACGGAAGAAGGAGGGGGGGGGAGAAACTCCTTACCGTCACATACAGGCGGAAGAGTTCGTTTTGTCGCAGCAGATTCCGCATGTATTCCATGCAGGCTTCCTCTTCCATGCAGTAACGGAGGTAAGGCTGGAAGTGGGAGCCGAACTGCAGAGGAGGGAGGGAGAGAGAGAGAGAGACCCAGAATTAAACATGGTTTAGGGAGGAGGTCGGAAGCCGGGATTATCTAGGGTTGGCTGAGCGCCCAGTGGGCCTCTGGGCGGCTTCTGGTCTCTTCTCTGCTGTGGCATAAATGCTTCGGTCTGGGGTCCCTGGGTGGCTCTCTGGGCTTGGTGGTTTCCTTGCAGACATTTCATGACCCAGCTAGGTTACATTATCAGTGCTAGAAGGGAGGGTGGGGTTGTGGAATGATGATGATGGAGGAGGAGGAGGAGGAGGACTGTGTGGTCCTTGGTGTTTTCTGCGGGGTCTGTGCTTTTCTTGCAGACATCTCATGACCCATCTAGGTAGCATCATCCGTGCTAGAAGGTAGTGGGTTTTGCAGAGGAGGAGAAGTATAGTGGTGAGGAAAGAAAGGAGTGTGGGGTCCTGGGTGGCTCTCCAAGCTGGGTGGTTTCCTTGCAGACATTTCATGACCCAACTAGGGAACATTATCAGGGCTAGGGGTTTGGGGGGGAGGAGGAAGAGGAGGAGAGAAGGAGGAAGAGGAGGAGAACCGTAGGGTCCTTGGTGCTCTCCGAGCTGGGTGGTTTCCTTGCAGACGTCTCATGACCCAACTAGGTTACATCATCAGCTCTAAAAGGGAAAGCGGGGTTTGCTCTCTGTTTATAGACTGACTCTTCTCTTTCCTCGGCCTGGCATCGACTTCCAAGCTCCACTCCAAAGGCAGAGGCCCTCTGAGCTTACGCTGAGGGCCTGCCCACCGTCTACCCCCCCACCCAAGCAGCCCCCCCCCCCCCCCCCCCGTCATAAACCCCTCGGACAAATCGGTGGGGTCCAGCAACTTTTGGCTCGCCCGGGCCTTCTCCAAGACGGGGGCCATGACGGTCCTCCAGAGGGAGCGATGGACCCGGATTATTTCTTGAATGTTGCTGAAAAGACGTTCGGCTTCCACCTGAAAAAGACCAAAAAAAAA